TAACCGGTTCAAGTGGAAAATCGGTTAACCGGTTCAAGTGGAAAACCAGTCTAGTTTCGGTTAGGTTTTTCACTTGAACTAGAATCCGGTTTGGTTCGTAAAAATGGCAAACCAGTTCAGTTAACTAGTTTTTGCCATCCTTAGTGAATAGTCCTGTCAACGCACGCAGTAGTTAAGTGTTGTTGCACGTGGCAACACACAGAGTGCATGCACCAGCACGCAGCAACGCACAGTAGACCCCGCTATTATGCACGACCACGCACAACATCATGCTCCACCATNATCTTTTATCCGTTTCAAAAGTAGGCAATTGAAACGCTGTATTGAAATTCTAATATTACTAAAATATGAATTGAAATCCTAATACTGTACTACTAAAACATGAATTATAAAATAAGAAATCAAAACTATAATTTTTGTAACTACACCTCCATTAAGTTATAACCTCTTTATAGTAATAAAATTAGTTAGTCCCAACATTATGACTATAGAGAGGCTTTACTCTATATATATATATATATATTAATTAGGGTAATTTTAATTAATTTCAATTAATATTAATATAAAAAATATAATAAATATTAATTAAGTAATTTTATTTATTCTATTTAAATAATAAATAGACCAAGAAACAACCTAAATAAAATTATCAAATTACCTAGTCTTAGTGAAATGACCAAATTACCCTTTAACCCTTTTTTGATCAAAGACACGTTCTTGACTTAATTCCCTTTATAGGTCACTATCATGTTGGTAGTGAGTAATATGCGATTAACAACCAATTAATCGTCTCATTACACACAAACCAAGATTGACCTCTAGCAAGGCATCATGGCCACCCAACAAGTAGAGATCAGGGAAGAATTAATACCTTTCAACGGTATGGTTACTGCACAATCCAATCCTTTCATCATCCATTATCTCATCAAGGTTGAGGTACAAAAATAATTTCATTCTCCTTGATGTATTTGGTGTTTGGTTGTCAAATGACCGAACTTAAATCAGATTCGAGCGACAACTCAATTCCACTATGACCACAGATTTATGGTCATTGCCATATAACCAAACTACACAGTGACATAATTACTCCCATAACTAGGAGTGATGAATCCTTTGTCGATCCACCATAGCCATGATTTATTTCATGATGTAGCCAATCACCACCATATTGATAACCCTATAAAAATTACGTTAGGCTAGCGTCAAACTACACCATTATGTACACACGACACTTTGGTGATCTCAAGTCTTAGGATCACACACACCACCATCCTTAAGAGGATTTTTTTCCATAAACACTAGGTTTACCATCTGAATGGAATCCTTCGATGGGTCAGTCAAGTGAACTTGAAACCAACAAGCACCCACGCATTGCACTAGGTTATCACCATACAACCTTGACATGCGAGACTTGTCAATACCTTTTAGTAGGGTCGTTCAACGCTATGATAGCCTTACTATATTATTTGTGCCTTATGTCAGATTAATACTTAGGCTATGGACATTTCTAAAATGGCAACCACATGTGCTCATAGGGATCTCACAATCAAGACTTAAAATACTTGATTCACTTGTCATGGTTCAACCACTCTAAGGGCACATATAATTACATATATATAATACAATTTACATGAAATAATGCCTTTTATTATGATACAACATAGTCAATTACAATAATTCGATTGGTTCTAGGGCACCTACTCTAACATTGAGATCACCAGAGTCTCGTGTGTACGTAATGGTGTAGTTTGACGCTAGCCTAATGTAGTCTTTTTTAGGATTATCAATACAGTGGTGATTGACTACATTATGAAATACATCATGGCTATGGTAGATTGACAAAGGATTGATCAATTCTGTTACGGGAGCAATTATCTCACTGTACAGTTTAGTTAATTGGCAATGATTACAGATTTGTAGCCACAATGAAATTCAGTTGTTGTTCAAATCTAACTTTATCACGATTTTTAGTTTGATAACCAAACACCAAAATATCAAGGATGTTATCTGAGGATGACACTATTTTTGCACCTTAACCTTAATGAGATAACAGATGATGAAATGATTAGAATTGCATGGTAACTATACTGTTAATAGGTATTAACTCTTCGCTAATCTCTACTTGTTAGGTGGTCATGATTCCTTACTAGAAGTAGAAGCCAATTTTGGTTTGTGTGTAGTGAGACGATTAATTGGTGGTTAATCATGATACTACTTAATGCCAACATGATAAGAAGCCTACGGGTCACACACAAAATAGAAGTGGAACTCTGGAACATTTATTTGACCAAGGAAGTGGTTTAAGATGAGAAGGGTATTTTGGTCTTTCTGTAAGGAAAGGACATTTTAGTAATTTTGTAAAGGTTGTTGCCTATGTCTATTTCCTAGTGAAATAGAATAAATAGAAATTATTTAATTAATATTAATATATATTTATTATATATTAATATTAATAGAAACCTATTTATTCTATCATAAATTGGTTTAGGACAAAACCTACTCCAGATAGGAATAGGATAGCATCTTATTCCAAATTGGAATAGGATTAAGTTTGACTATATAAGTCACACTTAATTTAGGTTAGCCGTGACTTTTAGTTTGACAGAAAATTTGTATGCAAGTTTTCTCTAAACCCTAGTTGTCCTTTCTCTTGATTCAAGTTGTCCCCTTCACTCAATCTAGCAATTGAGTTGTTCCATGGTTGTTCTGGCATCTCCTTGTGTGTATATCATTCGTGCAACTCCATACTTGAGTTAGTTTGCAAAGAATTTAGATTTGGTGGAGTCTCCAACGAAGGTACAAAGAATCTAACATTGTACGATTTGTTTTATGTTTATAACATATAAACAAAATAATCACGATCGGATTTGGGGTTTTCAAAGGAATTAAAATTTTAAATGCTTATTTTCATTGTGCATCCTCCTTTAATTTCTTCATATGTTATAATATGTAATTTGTTGATTAAATGAATTGTTTTTAATTTGTTGATTAAAACTGATTTTAATCTGATTAATTGTTTTGTTGATGATTGTTATTGGTTTGTCTTTGATCTAAAAATAAATAAATAAATAAAAACCCTAATTTGCGCCACTGTGCGTGGTGGCACAATGGTTGCCGTGCGTTGTTGTGCACGGCAGCAACAACTACAACGTATAATCGCACACTACAAGTGGCCATATAGCGTGCGCAACAACAAATTGTTGCATGCAACAAGCCAACATCACGCGCGCTGCTACGTGCAATCTATTGCGCATTGTCGCACGGAATAGCCCATTGTCGCGCGTTGTTGGGCACAACTTAGAAGTGACAGTGTGCGTCAACACACGACCTTGATTAGTGCTACCGTAAATGGGACTACAGTTAGGGGTGTTCAAAACCGGTTAACCGTTTTCTTGAATCGAATTGGTTTTTTGGTTCAAGAATTTTCTTGAACCTAAACCGAACCGGTTTAGGGAAAAATCTGTTGTTTGCTTAGAAAAAATTGGTTTTGAACCGGTTTTCCCCTTAGGTTGCATTTGGTTCGGGGTGATATAAGATTAATCCTGTAATCTTTGTTTAATTTTCAAGATTCCCTCGTTTGGTTGTCAAGTAATAAAATATTACGTAATCTTTTATTGCAAATAGTTTTTACTATTGGTAATATTGGGTGCAATCAGATTACCTTCCCAAGGAGTGTTAATATAAGATTACCAAGGTAATCTTAATTTTGACCCTATTTTGCCCTTAATCTTTTATCATTTTGGACACATTTGCCCTCATATGTCTACCAAATAACAATTACCCAGACCCGTTACATTTGAGAATTTAGGTAAAACACCCCAACCACAAAAAAGTTAACAATATACCCCCAGCCACCCAAGACCACTGTCGGCCACTAGCCACCATCGCTAGCCGTCGACGAAAGTCGTCATATCGGTACAAGACCGGTGGGATCTTGCCAATCGTTTGCTGGTAAGAACGTTTCCAGCCATGGATTTGTGATCCATGGCCGAAAACGACCATATCTGGCCGTTTCATGGCAAAAGATGTGGCCGTGAAAAAGGCCAGATCTTTGACAGTGAAATGGCCGCTGTTTCACAGCCAAAGATTTGGCTTTTTCACAGCCAGATCTAACTGTTTTTGGCCATGGATCAAAGATTCATGGCCGGATTAGGCCTTATCTATGCATGACCAGCCAAACCGGTCGGTCGTGCACCATTACAGCAGCTACAGGCGATTGTGGCTGGCTGCCGGCAGTGGCTTGGGGTGGATGGGGGTGATTTTGCTACAAATTAAAGTTTTATATGGCTGTGGTATTTTAGCAAAATTTCAAATATAGGGGGTTAAAAGAAATAATTTAAAAAATAATAGAATCAAATAATAATATATTATTATTTAAAAAGGAGGGTAATTTAGTAATCTACATAATATACCCACTCATTTATCCTCCCAGCCAAACATATTATTATAATATACCCACAATTTATTCCAACCAACCAAACACATTTTTCTAAAGATTCGCTGGTAATCTATCTTTTTAGTAATACAACATTATCTAGTAGTACAACATTTCCTGAACCAAATGCACCCTTAAGGCTTAAACTTATTATTTTTAAAAATTTTTCCTGATTTAAATTGTAAATATCAACAATATATATCCATATAAAAATTAAACATTCATATATATCTATTGACCTCAACTAACAATACATTAAAAATTGATACAAATAAAAGTCTGTAATGAAACATCAATAATAAGACAACAAAATAAGTCCCAATGGAAAACCAAAAAAAAAAAAAAAAAAAAAAAAAACAAACAAAAAACAAAAAAATTGTGCTAATACAACTCCATAAGTGAAAAGCAGAAACCAACATTAAGTCAATACAAGTAGCTCTCCCAATTTCTGCCCAAATAAAAAGTAAATGTTAGAAGTTGATAAAAATTGAATCATATTTTTTTCATTGCCTACAATAACAAAACAGTTAAAGAAATCAAACCTCAATTAAATGTTGCAAAACCTTCAATCATCAAGATGAACACGAGTAGTATTTTCCATTGCCAAAGAAACAAATTCTACAAAAAAACAGGTCATATAAATAATGGTTAAATTCAAAATACAATCACTAAATCCAACAAAGACAACATAATAACTAATAATTGAAACTAAAGCAAAAAATTTACCTGACTCAAGCTCTGATATCTCTTCCAAGCTCTCCTCAATCATGAATGGTTCACGTTTAGCCCGAATCCAATCTTGTGTACAAATAAGAGCCTCCACCGTCTTAGGAGTGAGGGAGCTATGAAATAGATCTAATACACAACCCTCAGTGCTAAATGCTGACACAAATGTAAAGTAGAAACAAGCATAGCCAATACCCCTCATGCTATTGAAGAGAGAACTGGATATCTATTTGAATTTACCTTCCACCAACTCAAGATATCAAACATCTTGTCCTTGTGACGTTGCTCACGTTCATCCTCTAAATATTTATCCATCTCAGATTTGGTCACCAAAACTTCCTATCTAGCCATTGCCTCATCGTACATACAATACATTAATTCTTTAGGATCAACATTTACATCCTCAACATTAATCTGACTTGCTTGTTGAGATTGTTGACTAGATTGCCCACTAGGAGAAGCATAAATAAGCTTGTATATATTGGTCTGATAAAGAGTACAAAGTTGTATGCACTTTTGTCTTTAAAAGTTTAGCATTAACATCATCATAGGAATTATTAATGACCTAATTCACATATTCCAACTTGAATCTAGGATCCAACACCATTGCAATGAATAACATTAAGCTGATGTTGTCAATATTTGACCAATATTTATCATGTTTTCCCTTCATTCTCCCAGCTATAGTACTTAAAACAACATCATTACTTCTACAGCATGTTGAAATCTGCATTCCAATGGCAAAGATCTCGCACATGTATGCATTATTGGTAACAAAAAGTGAGCTTGACACACATAGAGTAGCATCATAAAAATTTTTCAAAAAAGGCAACAAGTAACGAGCATACTCCCAATCACTAGGCATAGGCAAACCCTTTGACTTTTCTCCTCTAGTAAGTTCATCTCTATACTTAATGTCTTGGATTTTGAACAACTCAAATGCTTTTTGAAATTTTAAAACCACACCCAACATTAAGTACGTAGAGTTCCACCTTGTCTCTCATCAAGAACCAAAAGTTTTTTTTGTTCAATTTTTTCTTGCTCTACACACTCCTTAAACCTTTGTAACCTTGCTGAAGAAGACCTCACATACCTCACTGTAGAGTGAATTCTAAAAATGGAGTCCTTTATGTCTTTTAATCCCTCTTTTAAAGTGAGACTCAATATATGTGCACAACATCTCATGTGCAAAAAGTCACCATTCAAAACACTTTCCAACTTTCTAACCGATTCTGGAGATATCTTATTCCAACATCATTAGAACTTTCATTGTCCACGGTAACTATTAGAGTAGATGCCCTAGAGCCAATCAATTATTATAGAATTGACTCTTTGTAATAATGTTCATTGATCAATAAAAGGTGTTTTATACTATATCGCGTAAATCATCATTGTATGTATTGATATATGTCCTTAGAATGGTAGAACCGTGACGAGGGTATCAAGTGTTTTAAATCTTGATAGTCAGAACCCTATGAGCACATATGGTGGCCATTCTAAAAACGTCCGTAGCCCCAGTATTATTATGAAGTAAGGACACAGATAATACGGTAAGGCTATTATAGTGTTGAACAACCCTGTCGAAAGGCAGTGATTGATCTCATTTGTCAAGGTTTTTTGATGACAACCTGGTGCAACACATGGGTGCTTACTGTAGGCAAGTTCACTGGACTGACCCACCAGAGGATTCCATATGGATGGTAACCCCAGTGTCTATGGAACAAATCCTCTAACGAATGGTGGTGCATATGATCCTTAGACTTGAGATCACCGGAGCGCCTTGTGCACCGATTGGTGTAGTTTGACACTAGCCTAACGCAGTTCTATTTAGAGCTGTCAATACGGTGGTGATTGGCTACATCAAGGAGTGTATCAAGACTATAGTGGATAGACAGAGGATTCATCACTCCCGGGTACAGGAGAAGTTATGTCACGGCGCAATTCAGTAAATGGAAATGACACTAAAACTGTGGCCACAATGGGATTGAGTTGTTGCTCTATTCAGTTTATAATACAGGTCATTGGTCTAGTAACTGAATACACAATATCGAGAGTAACCAAAGGTTGACACTATTTCTATGCCTCGGTCTTGTCGAGATAACGGATGATGAAAGGATTGAATATATCATTGACAGATAGCTACTTTGTTGAATCTGAATCTATCGGGTGGTGATGATGCCTTGCTAGGGGCCAATCTTGGTCTGTGTATTAGTGAGACGATTAATTGGTGTTAATCGCGATACTATACACTACCGTTATGATGAGGAGCCTATGGGTCACACACATAGAAGATAATTTAAGACTCATTAAGTAAGAAGGGCATTTTCGTCTTTTTAGGTGAAAGGGTATTTTGGTACTTTTACAGTGCAATTAAATTTGCTGAGGTTGTAGCCTTTATTTAATTTGTTAGAAAAATTAAATAAGTGAGATTACGTTTAAATATGTGTTCGCATATATTTAAATAAGTTATCATTATTGTTAAATGTTAATATAGTAAATATATATATTAATTGATTTTAATTGAGATAATGATAAACTAAAATTAAAATATCTAATTGGGAGTGTTTGGAAACAAGGGGTGTTTGGGTTGGAGCCCAAGCCTATTCCATAAGGGAATAGGGCAATTAAACTTATACTATATAAGTAAAAGTTTAATTGAGAGAGAAAAAAAAAAGGTTTTCATTTCATTCTTTTCATTGAAAAGAGAAAAGCCACAACCCCAAAACACTCTCTAACATCAGATTGGTTTTTTCCTAAAATCAAAATTCCTTTGTTTTCTTTTCTTGTTTCTTAAGACTAAAAAGGATCTAGCAAATCCCTCTTTAGTTCCATGCGATTATCTTCGTGCAGACTACATCAGTTCGATCCTACACTTGGGTTGGTAGCAAAGTACGTTCAGAGACAAAGTTGGAGGAGCCTCCAAACGTGTGTATGATTTCTTAAACTCTAAATTAATTTTCTGCATATTCTTATTTTGATATAAACTGTAAATTTGTACCCTGATCTTGGTTTTATGGAACGATCCGTGTTGTTATTAATTTTTTGTTTTTTGCTGCGTTAATGGATTGTTTCCTAATAGTGGTATCAGAGCCTAGGGTACCAGATTTTACAGTTTTATGTGGATGGTTGATTACATGTATTTGATTGATAATATGTTGCCTTAAAGAATGTACGTAAAATCTGCCTTAAAAGCATGTTTTAAGAAATCAATTGATCGATTGATGATCTACAAGTTTGGTATATTGGGTTATGGATTTTTGTTGAAATAAGTGTTTATGATTGATTGCAAAATCCGTTTGGTGTGTTTTTGGTGACTAGTTGAACTAATTCAGAGCTACAGATCAGTGTATGCTTGCTGCGGCGATCTTTGTTAGGACGAACGCTGTACGAAATCAGTGCTCACCGCGGTGATATAACCCATCGCCACGGTGATCGCACATTAAGCATGAACATCAAGTTAATCACCACACGCTGCGGCAATATAACTCATCGCCGCAGCGAGCTCACTTCCGAGTGCGTAGGGGCCAGATTGTAAAGTTTTAAAACTTTTAGAACAACTGCAGATCTATAAATTATTAGGGGGTAATTAATAATTAACACACCAATTTCAAAATTTTGATTGTTTTTGAAATGTATGCTATATACTTGTTTGTATATTGCATGGTGCCAAGTACATGAGCCTTAGACCTATGGTGAATGTTTTAAAACTTGTTTGGGTATGTATGGTTGTAATTTATTAAATGAGGCCTGCGTGTCCTGCCTTTCTCCTTTTCTCAATGTACATTCTCTTCTCATCTCATTCCCCTCGAATGTAAATCAGGGTTTCTAAATTTATTGATGTAAAGAATTTTTTGTAATTATTCTTATTGTAAATTTAGAATGATGTTTTTGTAATGTACTTAAAGACGGAGCAAAGGACGAGGCAACCATACTTGAAGACTCAAGATATTTATTACAGGACCCCTAGGTGACCCACCGATTCCTCTAGGCAGTGGCGGACCCAGGATTTTTACCCAGGGGGGGCCCCATCACTATTTGCCAATCAAGTAGTGAAAACATAAGAAAATAATTTACAGGAAAACACAAGAAAATTTTTACGTGGAAAAACCTCTTCAATATGAAGAGATAAAAAAACCACAGGAATCTAACGACCCACTTAAATCCAATATAATCAAAAGAGTTTACAATAACTACAAATCAACCAAAAATATTCTACACAAATTTAGAACTCAATTACAACTCTAACAAAAGTAAGATACACAAAGGTTTACAAAGAGATGGATTACAATCACTCTAAATCCAGATCTAGACGTTAACATTCTAACTCAACCGTCTATATTAAAGATCCACACATCCTCTGCATATTGACCCAAAAATCAAGTTAGAATGGTATACCTAAAGATCTAAATAATATGAATATTTATTATTTAAAGATGAAAGCAAGTTAGAATAGTATACCTGAAGATCTTCAATTTAACACGATTTTTCGCTTCATTATGTTCTGAAAATGTTCAATGATATCTTCATTTTGAATTGTAGCAAAAACTTCCTTTTCAATGTAAACTACTAAGCAATTGTTCATCCACTCGTCTCCCATTCGATTACGCAAAGTATTCTTANTCTACACAAATTTAGAGCTCAATCACAACTCTAACAAAAGTAAAATACACAAAGGTTTACAAAGAGATGGATTACAATCACTCCAAATCCATATCCAGAAATTAACATTCCAACTCAACCGTCTAGATTAAAAATCCACACATCCTCTATGTATTGACCCAAAAATCAAGTTAGAATGGTATACCTAAAGATCTAAATAATATGAATATTGATTATTTAAAGATGAAAGCAAGTTAGAATAGTATACCCGAAGATTTTCAATTTAACACGATTTTCCGCTTCATTATGTTCTGAAAATGTTCAATGATATCTTCATTTTGAATTGTAGCAAAAACTTCATTTTCAATGTAAACTACTAAGCAATTGTTCATCCACTCGTCTCCCATTTGATTACGCAAAGTATTCTTAACAATATTCATTGCAGAGAACACCCTTTCAGTTGTTGCAGTAGCCATGGGCAAAACCAATGCTAATTTAATAAGCAAGAAAACTTTGTCGTAAGCAACATCCTTCTTAAACTCAACCATTTTTTTTGCAAGATCGGCAATCCCATCAACATGAGTGAAACCGGCGTTGGTGCTAACATCCTCATAATAGTTTTCAAGTTAGTTATCAAGCAGCCAAATATCGTGTTGAGGAAAATCGGCAGGATAGAACTTTCCAAACTCAAGTAATCTATCTTTGTTAAATGCAGCAAAAGAGTTACTTGGATCAAGAGATACCATACACTGAAGTAGCCTCATATTTACTTCATCAAAACGATTATTGAGTTCTTCTTGAATGTTATCTAAAATTGTGTACATCAATTCCACCTTAAAATGATGTTTATTCGTAATTGGGGCAATCCCCCGTTTTGTCCTCCCAAAATTATGTTCCATGTTCTCCGGGATTGGTATGTCATTATCTTTACACAGATCATAAGCTTCTTTCAACAATATGTCGAAGCAAGTGTCTTCATTTCTCAATTTATGCAATCGATACTTCGAAATTTGTACAAACTGCATGGCATTAAGAAGATCTTGATCTTTTCTTTGTAATGCTTGTGACAGGTCATATGTGATTCCCAATACTTTCTTCATTAAGAATAACAAAAAGACGAATTCAAAATTCTCCTTGATTCGTAATAAACTCCTTGCTTGACTTTTGTTTTGCCAATCATCTCCTTCAATCTCAATCACTCCGAGCACACCAACAACAGAAGAAAATAAGTTTATGACACTATGAATTGTCCCTATGTGTGAACCCCAACGTGTATCTCCTAGTCGTTTAATAGTGCATTCTTAATTCAAATCACGTCCCGTTTGAAGATCACCATTAGAAATAAAAGATATCACATATTCATATTGTTTATCACGTAGAAGATCTCTGCGCTTGCAAAATGTCGCTACAGTGTTTGATAACATAGAAAGAGTTTGAAAAAATTCACCCAATGCCAAATGTTTACTTACAAGTTTGACTAGCGTCAGTTGGAGTTGATGAGAGAAACAATGAACGTAGAAAGCTGATTTATTTTCTATCAATATCAAAGTCTTCAAACTATTGAACTCACGCTCATATTGCTTGCTCCATCGTAACCTTGGCCCCGTAAACTTGTCAAACTCAATCCATACTTTACAAAAAAGGCATCTATTGCAATTTTCAAAGACTTTGCAGAAGTATTCTTAACATGCACAATCCCAATAAAACGTTCAATAACACAACCTATTTTATCCACATAGCAAAAAACAATAGTCATTTGTTCTTTTACTGCCACATCATGAGATTCATCAACTAGTAAAGAAAACGATTGTTTATCTCTCACAATTTCTGCAATAATTTTCTTGGTCGTCAAATGAGCACAAACACTAGTTAGTTGCCTCTGGATTTTGGGGGCCGTCATTTGATGGTTTTTCAAAGCATTTCCCAACTCAGCTTTCTTTATGTCGTCATTGTGATTGGATAGAAACTTCAATAGTTCCATAAAGTTGCCTTGATTTTTAGATTCAACTCGTCATGACCACGAAATGCGAATCCTTGATGTAAAAGGAATCTAATGTAATCAATTGATGCATTCAAGCGAATGTGATAGTCCAATTTGCCTTTTTTCGACACGCAAGCAAGATTTACATTGATGTGTTGCCTTTGGTTCATCAAATCAACACACTTGGCATGACATTGTTGATGAGTTCTAGAATAATCACCAACATGTTTTTTCACTTTTGCTTTATCTTTCCAGTTATTAAATCTCTTATTCACAAAAACTTCACACCCTGCTTGGTCACCATAATCAAGTTTGAAAAGATAACAATTCAAACAGAAGATTGCATCTTTTGCCACACTATATTCCATCCAACTTGAACCTTTTTTGTACTACTCTGATGTAAACCTACGCTTTTTATCTCCAAAAGGAGTGAAAGGAAAATTATGATCTTTAGGTTGGCAAGTACCTTTCAACAAGTATGCTCTTCGAACTTTCTCCTTTTGTTTGTCAGTACAACAAAGCTCGTTAATTGGTATCCTCAATCTTGGGTCAGTTTCAAGCTCATCTAAATTAAACACCCCAATTGAAGGTTGAACTTCTTTTACTTGGTGTTGTTATTGCTGTTGTGGAGCTTCTTCTTCTAATGGGGTTTGATTAACCTCAATATCAATAAAGTCTCCATCAATATTTTTTGCTGGACTTTTCTTCAGTCTCTTGAAATAATAGGATATCATAATCTTATTTGTACAAATATATTTGGAACGATTCTTGCTTGTTAATGCTTTGGATTCCAAATCCAATAAACATATAATGAGTCAGTACCAAAATAGGATCCAAAAAAAAAAAGAGACAAAGAGATTCCTATAAAATAAAATTAAAAAAACTAATTAATTTAGCAACTTAATTAACTTTCTCTTGAATGAGATACATGAACAAACCAATACATGTAAACAATTAAAACAAATAACATAGTTTTGGCGAATTCAACCCATAGCCTAACAAGGCAACAACTATAATGTAGATGTGATCATTAAATGCATATTTTAACACACCTATCTTTTCTATTTGGTAAACTCTAATAAAGAAGACAAAATATGAATAGAAGTATGTGCATTTCCAAGTAGTTTACTCCCAATGGGTCTACAATCATTTTTTCCTCTTTCGAATTTTCCAACAACACAAACAATTTACCTTACATTTAATTGCATCCAATGAGTTCCTTTATTCAGTCCCAAAGTATCTCCTACTCCTAATTCCCAATTCCTAAATGTCCAACATTCCTAAATGCCCAACATGGCATCACCATACCTTCCCAAATTAGGAATCTCTTTCTTTTTACTCATTGGGAATCCCAATGAGACAATGAGTAAAAAGAAAGAAATGCAACATCAATTTCCCTCAATCATGATGTCCCAATTTTTGCTTTAAAAAGAAATGCAACATTTTAATCAAGAATAGTGAAAAATCAAGGGCAAAAAGCCAAAGACAATACCAAATTACCAATCTTTCTTGTTATGGTTCTGAGGATGAGGATAGTATCATGACTCAAGAGTCAAGACTTAGGAGACGTGAGTAAGAGAAGTTGAGAGGCGGAATTTCAACTTGGGATTTTTTTAATTTCTAGTTCAAGGTCTGAGGTAGTGCCGTCATGTAAAAGGGAAGATGGGAATCGGGGAATGAAAAAGTTGAATATGAAAAGGACAAAATCTAACTTTTTAAAAAAACTTTTCAAATTTTTTTTTTAAAAGTTGAAGGCAGGCCTGAGCCTACCCTCAAGGGGTCTGGGTCCGTCGCTGGCCACATGTAGTACTTGTAATCACAAAATCTCCTCTCAAACACCTCACAAATCTACCTTTGTTTCTAGTGTCAGATTTCAGTGGCATTACATCAAACACTTAGCATGCACCATCAAAGTAACCATATTTCCAAAGGCTAACAGAAACAATCACACCATTCATACTTTCACAAAAGTAAAATGTTACATGGTTACGTGGAAACTTATCAAAATACCAAGTCCACATTGATTACATCATTTTGTTTTGAATAGGAATTAGTTTCTTCATTTTAGCTTTTCTTTTTTAAGTTTATGTTTGAGTTGTTAGCATTATTCCCTATTTTTTCTTAGTTAGTTTGGCTTTTGGCTTGTATTTAAATGATCTTTTATCATGGAATAAGGGCATCGAATATCACAAAATCTACAACTTACTATTGTATTGGGAGGTCTTGTTTCTTTCTTAATTGTTTATTTAGCAAAATTGAGTGTATCATCTTTGGTATCAGAGCTAGGCTAAGGATTTGCAAGAGCAGGTGAAGAAGCTAGAGAAGGGCCTTAAATCTCTCTCTGATGGACAAAATGATCTTCTTAAACATGTTACTGAGCAAATGGAGAAGAAGAGCCAACAATTATGTGGCAAGAACTTTAATGAAACCAGTGAAGGTTCTGTTGTTAAAATGGGTGGACATTCTTCTAAGGGAGGAAGCTCTAGCATGAATTTCATTCCAAGAACCATAAAGCTTGATTTCCCTCGGTATGATGGTCGAGACGACCCAGTTACTTGGATGAGTTAGACAGAGAAATATTTTTCGCTTTATGACATTGCTAAATCATACAAGGTAGCACTATCATCATTTTACTTAGAGGGCAATGCCCAGCTGTGGTTCCAAACATTGGAACAGGAAATCCTTTATGTCACTTGGGAGGATTTTAGAAATGGGTTCTTCTCTCATTTTGGTCAGAATCAATTCGAATACCCATTTAGTGAACTCATCAATTTATGGAAAACTAGCTCAGTAATTGAATACCAAAGCGTATTTGAAAGAACATTGGCCAAAGTTAGATCTCTCTCTTAATCTAGGAAAGTCAGTTGTTTCATCATAGGCTTGAAAGAAAACTTCAAACCGACGTGCAAGCAAATAGGCCTTCTACACTAACCATGGCAATGGGATTGACAAAGTTATATGAAAGTCGCAACCTTGCACATAAGAGATATGTTCTTCCAATTGCTCGACCAGTGAACCCAACACGAGCTGCTATAGGGCCTCAAGAATGTAATATAAAGAATGCAACAACCAAGAGAATGACGCTGGTTGAACTTGTAAAATGCCAAAGGCAAGGCTTCCATTGTAATGACAAATACAGCCCATGACACAATTTCCCAAAGCTCTTTCGAATTGAGGCATGTTGGGACGAGGAAGGTGATGAATTGATAATGGAAGTCGAAGATGAAATTATTGATGCAGCTCTAACCATATCACTTCATGCAATGTCAGGAGTTCAAGCACCAATAACAATGAGGCTATGAATAAGTCTTAAAGGTCATTCAGTGATGGTTTTAATCGACTTAGGTAGTACTCTTAACTTCATAAGTTCGCGAATAGCTCAACAAGTACAACTACATCTTGACTTTGATGGAAGATTGGAAGTCTTGGTGGCATTGGGGGAGAGATTAGCAAGTCTTAAGAAATGCACTCAGGTGCAAATGAAACTCCAAAATGTTAGATTTTCAATTGAATTTTTTATATGGCCTTTTGAAGGGTATGATGTGGTGCTAGGTATACAATGGTTAAGGACATTGGGACCAATCAATGGGACTTCGAGAAACTACAAATGAAGTTTTTTTGAGGCTTCAAAGAAGTTACTTTGAGAGGCACCAGTAAACCAGAAAATAAGGTTACTAGTAGTGTGACTTGGCCAAAGAAAACACAAAGTAGGGCACTATTGAAACTCCTGGGCAGAGACGAAGCAATTAGAAATGAGCAACATGAATCTCTCCAAACGTAATAACTCTTGCATGATTATTAAGATGTGTTACAAGAACCTGATGATCTTCCTCCTAAAGACCCCAAGACCACCGCATCCCTCTCTCCCCTATGCATGGACCAGTTGCAATGTGTTCATATCGCTACCCATACTTCCAAAAAAAATGAAATAGAAAAATTGGTAGTTGAAATGCTAGCTATGGGATTTATTCGGCCAAGTAACAATCCATACTCTTCACTAGTGCTATTAGTAAAAAAAAAACACGATGGAACTTGGCACATGAGTATTGACTACCAAGCTTTGAACAAAAATACTGTCAAAGATAAATTTCCTATACCGGTAATTAATGAACTTTTAGACGAGTTGGAGGGAGCTCAATTCTTTACCAAACTAGACCTTCGTCGGGATACCACCAAGTGAGAATGCATCCCGATGACATTGAGAAAACAACTTTCTGAACTCACCAAGGACATTATGAATTTTTGGTGATGCCATGGCCCATGTGGCCTCACATATGCTCCATCAACTTTTCAATCGCTCATGAATGAGGTATTTTAAAATTTCTTACGTAAATTTGTCTTAGTGTTCTTTGATAATATTCTTATTTATAGTAAGAATTGGAATGACAATGTCAAACATTTACAAGTTGTTTTTGATACTTTACAAAGTAACAAGCTTAGAGTGAAGCTTGAAAAGTGTCAATTCGGGAAGAAAGAAGTACAATATTTGGGGCATGTGATTTCCAGACAAGGAGTAGTTGTTGATCCTACTAAGATTGAGACAATGATGACTTGGCCCAAGCCAAAAAACCCCAAAGCCATGCGTGGGTTTTTAGGCCTCACTGGATACTATCACAAATTTATCCAAAATTATACGAAAATAGCAGCATCTCTCACAAATATGTTGAAGAAATACTCTTTTGAATGGAGTGTGGCAGCTGAGGAAGCCTTTCAAAAACTCAAGCTTGCAATGACTAAAGCTTCGGTATTAGCTCTTCCTGATTTTTCTAAACCGTTCATTGTTGAGTGTGATGCCTTCGGGATTGGAGTTAGTGCTATTTTGTTGCAAGAACACCCCATTGTTTATTTCAGTCAAGCTCTCTATGGAAAGAATCTTTTTCTTTCAACTTGCAAAAAAGAAATTTTGGCCTTAGTACTTGTAGTTCAAAAATGGCGGCCTTATCCTTTAGGAAGACAATTCATTGTTCATACTGACCACCAGAGTTTGAAGCATTTGTGGT